TCGGTATCGGTACTCGGTATCGGCAAGTACCAAAAATAAAAGTATCGGTATCGGGCGAGTACTGGAAAAAGTGGTATCGGTGCATCCCTAGTATAAATAAATGTTGATTGATTTATCGATTGATTATACAAATAAATAATTAAGATTAAAATAAGATAAATTATTAATTATTAAATAATTATTTTATAATTATTACATAAGAAAAAATAAATAAGTAAAATAAATAAATATTATTAATCTAATAAAAATTAGATTACAATAAGATTAAATAAATAAACGAATAATTAATTAAATAAAAAATTGATGCACATAAATAAATATATTAAAAGTAAATAAATAAATAATACATGTACAATAGAGTAGAATAGAATAATGTAACTTGATAAAAAACTATTTTCCAAATAATAGAAATGTATAATATAAATTTTTCATCAGTTTGGTCTTTATACAAGAAACTATCTGGATGTCTTATGAATTTTAGTATGAGGTCCTTTGCATGAGGCTGATCATATTTTCTGGTCCCATGGTATTTAAAGGATTGAAACTGTTTTTAAATGACAAAATATAAAGAGCATCACTGTCTTTAATTTATGCTGATTTAAAATAATCAGTACTAAATGGTTGCATTACGGTAATGAGCATCTAGTGAGAATCACCATTAAAAATAAAAAGTCCAGACAAATTACAGTAATATGAATGTGCAAGGAAAATGTGCTTAATTGTCATGCAAATGTGTAAAAATTGTCCTAATTATAGGCTTCATTTCCTTTATGACAAATATAATTTGAACTTAAATAATTCTTTCTTTTGATTTTGGAGAGAAATATGAGCTGTAGATGTTTTCATGAGGTTCATATAAAACAGAAGGTGATTAGAGAGAATGAATGAATGAATGAACGAACGAACAGACGAATGAACGAACGATGAATGAATGAATGAACAAACGAACAGACGAATTAACGAATGATGAATGAATGAATGAACGAATGAATGAAGAATAACTGAACGAACACATGCACGCATGAACGAATGATGAATGAATGAACGAACGAATGATGAATGAACGAACGAATGCATGCACGAATGAATGATGAATGAACGAACAAACACACAAACGAATGATGAATGAATGAATGAACGAACAAATGATGAATAAATGAATGAACAAACGAATGATAAATGAACGAACGAATGATGAATGAATGAACAAACGAATGATAAATGAACGAACGAACACATGCACAAATTAATGATGAATGAATGAATGAACGAATGATGAATGAACGAATGGACGGACGAATGAATGAACGATGAATGAATGAATGATGGATGAACGAACGAACACATGCACGCACGAACGAATGAATGATGAATGAACGAACGAACGCATGAACGAATGAATGATGACTGAATGAACAAACGCACAAACGAATGAATGATGAATGAACGAATGAATAAAAAACGAATGAATGATGAATGAATGAACGAACAAATGATGAATGAAAAAACTAACGAACGAATAATGAATGAATGAACGAATGATGAATGAACGAACGAACACGCACGAATGAATGATGAATGAACGAACAAACAAACGAACACATAAACGAATGATGAATGAATGAACGAGGAACCCAGTCAGAGTTCACAGCACCACTAAGGTCACGCAGCACATCTGGAGCGACCTGATCCTCATCCAGTCACATCAGAGCTGAAGGACTTTCATTCTGGATGTGTTTGCTCCGTGTTGCTATATTTCTGTGACAGCTGAAGCTATCATGCATGGTGATGTTTCTGTGACTCACCAGTGCTGACGAAGGTCTCCATCTTGTCCTTGAAGGGCTGTAGATGTTCCTCAGAGGAGTTTTCACACACCTGCTCAACCTCCTTCACACACGCTGCAGGACAAACACATGAAGAAATACTATTTACTGCATACATACTATGAACTAATAAACACGACAGACCCATTCACTTGCAGTGAGACACTGATGCAATGCTACATTTCTCCAAATCTGAAGAAGAAACAAACTCATCTTGGATGACCCGAGCACATTTCCATTGCATTTTTAATTTTTAGCTGAACTATTCCTTTAATAAAAGATGTCATTTTTTAATTCGATTTTGTATAAAATGTCTGATAAAAAATAGAGATGTAAAAAATGTTGCATGCAGTTCATTAATCATACTAGAAATGGCAGGTCAAGCCAAGCGCATTGTGTATCTGATGCAGTGTTTTTCGTAGTGAATCGTATAACATTATGAACTGATGGGCTGCTGAATGAAGCAGTAAGGAGGTGAATTAATGAAGCGCAGGTGAGTCCTGCGTATCATGTTACCAGCACATCCATAAACGAGTTAAACGAGAAACATGAGGAAGAGGTGTGTGAAGCTCATCTCAAACAGATGAGCATCAAAGACACGCATTTGGAGCGAATTCAACAGATCCAGAGCAAGAATGCTTTTGATTACCGGACCGACTGTTCTGGTGTCAAACATGAGACTCGTTTATGAGTTTCCTAATGATTTCAGAGTACGCGGCTCATTATGATGACGGTGAGTTTGATTTCTGTCTGACACTGCATCATCATCTCAGTGACGAACTGCGTGCTTTGCATCTTTGAGCCAATCAGCTGAGCTGTAGATGTCATGTGACGACATGTGTCTCTGAAGCAGCACAGATGCGGATGGAGTTTGTGTTGTTTGTGCTTCACAGAGTCTTTGTTGTGCTGCCAAACAACTGCGTTCACACAAACTCACAGAAATCACTCAGCAGCTCCGTTCTCTGCCCTCCAAACGTGTACACGCGGTGTGTGTGTATGGATATGTTTAGCATTAATGAATCTTGTAAATACCCGCATGTGTTTATCATTGCAGCAGCTATAATATGGATTTTTATAAAGCCTCGTTTTTATATAGACCTCATACTTTTACAAAAAGGCAATTAATTTGTTCTCAGAAATAACAGTCTAAATCTTTATCTTTACATCATATCTTTACTTAACTCTAGGACAAAAATAAATAAATAATTACCTTTTTTTTGTTTTGTTTGTTTGTTTTTTTAGGTTTTTTATTGATTTTTCATTACATATAAAATTAAATAATTTTTCAACCCTCACCAACAAATCCCTGGCATTGCATCTATGCCGATTATTAATTTTCATAAGATAACTGAAAAGAAATGCATATATACGCATGTATACAGAATCTATTTTCTAAACGCATTTTATTGATCTTACTGCGAACAATTAATCTGTACATTTGTCAGTGTTATTTTAAAATCACTGATATATTATTATAGTTTTGGTTAATATTTTAAATTAGATTTAATTTTTATATTTTCAGTTTTCACTTTAGTTTACGTTTTAGTACTTTTATTTCATTTTTGAAATGTTTTTTTTTAAATATATAGTTTTTTTTATTAATTTGCAAGTGTCAGTGTTATTTTGTATATTTTTGATTTGATTATTTTAATTAATTGAATTACATTTTATTTTTATATTTTCAGTTTTCACTAAGTTTTAGTAAATTTGTTGTTTTTGCCATTTTAATATGTCTATATAGTTTTCATTATTTTTTATTTACACATTATAGTTTATTTAGTTTTAGGTATTTTAGTGCTTCACGTTAAATTAAACTGAACTAGCTGTATATATATATATATATGCATGCTACAGAGACGAGAGCTGATTTATCTCGACACGCCGGCCTTGGCTCTGACAAGAGCTCTGAGGTTGTATATAATTGTGGATTATCTGCTGAAATTCTTCGGCTTTGCCCGGATGGAAATGATCCACTGTACGCTACATAAATAACTCCTGGCCGGCTCGCCAGACAAACATCTTGTCTCCTGAAAGACTTTGCAAAACATGACGTCTAAAGCCCCGTGAGCCGGAGTTTGTATGCGTGTACAAGCATGATTTTGGTTAACTTGCTCTTTCATCATTGCGAGCAGTGGAGGATGCGAGGAATGCCTCCATTGTCTTCACTCGTGGCATATGGCCTCCATTGATGCGCCACTTACGCAGCTCGCAGGAGACATTCCCATAACATTTATTAAAGGATATGTAAATGTTAGGACAAAACATGTTTATAGAACATTCTTATAATCAATACTTGATATAGATTCTCGTAATGTTGAGAGGAAACATTGATGTTCTCAAAACATGTTATTAATGCTTGATCAATGTTTTTGTAATGTTAGCAGAAAATATTGTGACAATAATGGTCATGGAACATTTGTTTTGAATATTATACATAACTGATGAACTAAATCTCGGGAGAAAATGTTTTTTCCTTTACTCATTGGAAGGATCAGCTAACAGGGAATGTTCTCCGAATGTTTTCAAAATAATAGAATGGATGATAGATGTTAATACGTTTTTAAAAACGGGACATTTTGAACGTTTACAGAACAATTTAGAAAGATACATTTTCATAACGATTTCAAAATGATTGAATGGAGTGTTCTTCTAACGTTGACATAACCAAGAAAAAACATTTAAATGGGTGTTTTAAACATTGAGAGAACGTTCAAATGTAATGTTCTCATAACGTTTTCAATGAAAGAATGGAATGTTCTTAATACATAAAAAAAAAACTAAATGTTTTGAAAAACATTCAGAAATAATGTATCCATAATGGTTTTAAAATGATAAAATAGAATGTTCTTCTAACATTTGCATAACAAAGAAAAAACATTCTTTAAACATTAAAATGGGTGTTTTAAATGTAACGTTTTCAAATATACAATAAAATGGAAAATAAACAATAAAATTGAATGTTTGTTGAACACACATAACTATGATAAATGTTCTCAATACATTAAAAAAGAGACATAACGCTTTCATAATGTTTTCAAAATGATAAAATGCAACGTTCCTCTAACGTTCACATTACCAAGAAACAGTCTTTAAATATAAAAACGGGAGTTTTAAATGTTGAGAGAACATTCAAATGTAACGTTTTCATAACATTTCAAATTGATAGGATGGAATGTTCCTCTAACGTTCTTGGAAATTTTGAACGTTTAAAAAACATTCAGAAAGATACATTTTCATAACGGTTTCAAAATGATTGAATGCGTTCTTCTAACATTGACATAACCAAGAAAAAACATACTTTAAAAATTTAAATGGGTGTTTTAAATGTCGAGACAACGTTCAAATGTAACGTTTTCAAATATACAATAAAATGGAAAATAAACAATAAAATGGAATGTTTGTTGAACATTCACATAACTCCGAGAAACGTTCTTAATACATTAAAAAAAAGAGACATTTCGAATGTTTAAAAAACATTAAAAACATTTTTTAAAATATTTTAAATGTTGGGAGAATGTTCAAATGTAACGATTTCATAACATTTCAAAATGATCGGATGGAATGTTCCTCTAACGTTCTTGAAACATTAAAAACTGGACATTTCGACCGTTTAAACAAACAGTATCTGAGCTGGAGCTTCTAGAACACGATGATGTTTGTCTCTTTGTCATTTAAATGTAAGAAAAACAGCTGTGCTTTCCGTCTCTGAAGCTTTTTTTTTGTCTCTTTTGTGTTTTCATTATTTTGCCCAAAGTTGCCTGGATATTCCCGTGCTCTTCGTGCATGAAACGGTTAGTAGGGTTTTGTTTTCGGGATTGCGGTCACGCTTCCCCGGGAAATTACACGCCCCACCAGCGGCTTCATCAAAAGAAGCATCCAACGGGTTCATGTTCCTCTCTGGCCGTGATTAATGCAGAGACACACAGACACTTTACTTTGTCTGCGCTATTAACCGAACTTCAGCTTTTAGACGCTTCTTTATCTCCAGTGTGTCTGCTCTACACAGAAAAGAGAAAATATCATAGAGGAAATATTGCATTTAATGCTAGAATTCAAGCTAAGATGCATCTGATCGATTATTGACTGCTTTATCTGAATTAAATATGATATACACTACCACACTACCAGTCAAAAGTTTTCAAAAGAAGTCTCTTCTGCTCAAGGCGGCATTTATTTGATGAAAAATACCATAAAAACAGTGTAATATTATTATAATTTAAAACAGCTGTTTTCTATGTGAATATCGGTTAAACTGTAATTTATTTCTGTGATCAAAGCTGTATTTTCAGCATCATTACTCCAGATCCTTCAGAAATCATTCTAATACTCAGATTTGGCGTATTAGAAAAATCAGTAAATTAATTACTTAACACTTTTATTCATCAGAGACACATTAAATTGATCAAAAGTGACAGTACAGACATTTATAATGTTACAACAGATTTCTTGCTGTTCTTCTGGACAATAAAATAACAAAAAATGTCTTTTTGGAAATAAAATGTATCACAGTTTCCACAAAAATATTGTGCAGCACGACTGTTTTCAACACTGATAATAATCAGAAATGTTTCTCGAGCAGCAAATCAGCATATTAGAATGATTTCTGAAGATCATGTGACACTGAAGACTGGAGTAATGATGCTGAAAATACAGCTGCGCATCACAGAAATACATTACAGTTTAACAGATATTCACACAGAAAACAGATATTTTAAATGATAATAATATTTCACTATTTTTACTGTATATTTAATCAAATAAATGCAGCCTTGGTGAGCAGAAGAGTCTTCTTTCCAAGATCAGGTGAAGTGACTTTGAGAATCCGTCAGCAGCATCAGGCTGAACTGAAGAGAGAGTGTAGTATGAAACCCTTTTAACCCTGACGAGATCAGATTTCTGGTAAAAGTTGAAGAGAGCGGCGCGGAGGGCAAGCGGGGCAGTCGGGGCGTCTCTGTCTCGCTCTGCTCTCAGAGTTCAGACGTGTAAGCGGCCCCTGAGACTGACCCCGTGTCGCGACCCCTCGAACACACACGAGACGAGCTCGACATCTACCTACTGTCTCTGAGACCAGCTCCTGTCCAAAACAACATCCCATCAGTTATTTCTCCCACACCGCAATGTCTGAATGCAAATGACGAGCAATTAGAAACTTTTGCTGATAATCTCACATGTGAGTTTAAAGAGATTTCAATAATGTCTCAATATTAGGGCCCTTTTATTTTTTGTCAAATTCCATTTGATTTTTTTCCCCAAAAATCCATCTTAATGGTTTTATTCAATTTTAATAATCATAAAGGAGGTAGAATCAACCGAATTCACAATTTTTTAAAATAATTTAATAATTTATTAAAATTGTAAAGCCGTTTTTGTTTTCCCCTAAATTCTGTGTTTTCCGTGAAAATTTTTCTGGAATCCATTTTAATGGTTTAATTCAATTTTAATTATCAAAAAGGATGTATAATCAATTTAATTCATAAAACTTTTAACAATTTAATAAGTCAGAGATCTCAATATTAGGGCCCTATGAAATCTGTTTTATTATTTCCCAAATTCAGTGTTTTCAATGTTATTGTTTCTGGAATCAATTGTAATGGTTTAATTAAATTTTAATCATCAAAAAGTTTAAAACCTAAAAAATTAAGTAAAATGTTTAGGTTAGAGATCTCAATATTAGGGAAATCTGGATTATTATTATTTTTTTCACCCCCAAATTCTGTTTTTATTTTTATTTTTAATACATTTTAATGGTTTAATTCAACTTTAATAATTAATAAATCAATTAAATTCATAAAAAGTTAACAAGTGAATAATCTATTACAATTTTAACAATAATAGTGCCCTACGAAATTATTATAATTTTTTTTTTCAGAAATTCTGTGTCTGTTTTAATTGTTCTGGATTCTGATTTTATGATTTAATACACATTTATTCCCAAAAACGCTATTAATCGAACGTATATAACTAACAATTTAATTCATCTAAATGTCAATGTAATCAAATGAAATTTGAACAACTCCTTTAATTTTTTGTCAAACAAAGTGCTGCACAAAAGAAGTTTACTGTTTAAAAAAAGGGTGAAAAATGTGTGTGATATTCCTTAAAATAACAAATACAATGTATATTTTATTAAATATTTTTTAAACAATTTCACTAAACTGTTTCACTTATACAGCTCTTTTTATTTATTTATTCATTTTTATTATTATTATTGTGCAACACTGGTTGTTTTTGATTCATGTGGACACTGTTAAAATATCAATTAAAATAAAATGTTTTATTTCTCTTGAAATGAATAAACATCTGAGAGTTTGAGAGCTTTCAAATTCATCAAGTCTCCTGGATGATGTCACTTCATGTAACTGAAATCCTTGTCATCTGCAGTTTTTATTCCTGACAGTGAAACATTTGATTTTGCAGATTCACTGATTGTTTCAGAAGTAAATCCATCACTTGCGGCTCGATACGCCTCACGCACATACGTCAGATGCACAGACCTCAAATCTCAGGCCAGAAACTCTCGGAGAGACTCTCCTCACCACCTCCACTCGCTCTGCACTCTCACTTTAAACAGAAATGACTGCAGGAATAATTAGGAACACTTGCAGCTCTTTATGATGGCACGGCATTAATATTTATCCCTGTCTGCTGCCGTCGTAGGTGCGATCTGGTGCCAGCGCCCGAGGACTCGCGTTTGAGGCTTTTTTATTGTGGTGTGGATCAAATGCGAGGCCCTTATCCTGCATTTATTGTCTTGCATTTGTGTGCTAATAAATGAGTGACAGACAGCTCGAGGTGGGGCGGCAGTGGTTTTGTATTTTCCCTCGGGTCACTGAGGATCAAGGTTTTTAACAGCGATTCTCAAATGGAGGGGAATGAGGAGAGAGCATATCTAATTGCTTTCATATGCCATATTATTGGCTGATTTAAATAATTGCAGACACCGGGGGCTGGGGGAGGCGTGACCTTTGACCCCTGTGGCGGCCCGGAGCACAGCGTAGCACAGGCTATGGTAAAAACGCATTTTCCAGTGTAAAATTAAAAGAAATTGCTCTTAAATGCATGTTAATTGATAGACTGTGTCACAAACATGATCCGTTCACTCATTCCTAGTGCTTTGCTTTGTGGAGGAAACATTTAAGATGCTTAACCCTCATAACGCATTCAAAATCAGTTATTGCTGCATTTACCCCTTTTTTATTAATTAATAATTTGAGAAATTCTTAAAAATTTTAAATTACACATGAGCCACACCAAAAAACTATGATGTAATCTACATATATATATATATATATATATATTATAGTATTTTATTTGAATATATCATAGTATGAAATTTTTAAGACCATATAATCTGAGAATTATCAGTATTAACTCCATTGGAATGAATATATTTAATTAAATTCCTTTGAGTTTATAACTCATGATTGCTCAAAAACAGTCCACATTTATGAAATCTGCATATTTATTTCTAACAAAACAACATCAAAACAACATAAATATTACTTTGAAAAGCTTTCAAACTAAATACATTAATTTAACTTGCATAAACTTTCACTTTCAGATGAAAAAAAGTGATCAGTTTTTCATGCTGCAGTGGTTCATAAATATTCATGTTCATCAACAAAATTCAGTCCAAAAGTGAAAGTAAAGTTAAGACATGGAGAAAAGCCGAAATATATTTTACAAAAGTTTTGACACTAATATAACTTCATCATTTTACAAAAAATATTTTTGACACTAATGGTACTCCATACAAACCCGAGTCAAAATGACCCGAACACAAAACTTGTAACATTTTTTAAATGGTTATATCTCTTAAAAAATAATTGTAAAAAATCTGGGAGAAAAAAAAAAGATGTGTATTTTGAGGGTCTTAAAGCATTTGCAAAGGTGAATGATGAATGATGATTCAGTGACTCACTTTGCGCCACATATTGACAAAGTAACCTGAGAAGAGTCACTGAACCAATCTATGAATCAATCTGAACAACTCTATTTAGTGAATAGATTCAGAAGAGTCACTGGGATGAAGCTCTTGTTCCAGTCGAATCTGTATTTTTTAATGAATCGTTTGAATGAATGATTCAGTGACTCATTTTGCGCCACATATTGACAAAGTAACCTGAGAAGAGTCACTGAACCAATCTATGAATCAATCTGAACAACTCTATTTAGTGAATAGATTCAGAAGAATCACTGGGATGAAGCTCTTGCTCCAGACGAATCTGTTTTTTTTAATGAATCGTTTGAATGAATAATTCAGTGACTCACTTTGCGCCACCTACTGACGAAGTAACCTTAGAAGAGTCACTAAACCAATCTGTGAATCAATCTGAACAACTCTGTTTAGTGAATAGATTCAGAAGAGTCACTGTGCTAAAGCTCTTGTTCCAGACGAATCTGTATTTTTTTAATGAATCGTTTGAAGGAATGATTCAGTGACTCACTCTGTGCAACCTATTGAGAAAGTAACCTGAGAAGAGTCACTGAACCAATCTATGAATCAATCTGAATAACTCTGTTTAGTGAATAGATTCAGAAGAGTCACTGGGATGAAGCTCTTGTTCCAGAAGAATCTGTTTTTTTTTTAATGAATCGTTTGAATTAATGATTCAGTGACTAATTTTGCGCCACCTATTGACAAAGTAACCGGAGAAGAGTCACTGAACCAATCTGTTAAGTAAATAGATTCAAATGATTCACTGGGATGAAGCTCACTAGTAACGTCATTCTCATTTTACGGTCATTGTGTAAAACCCAAATTAAAACAATTAAAGCTGGAGAGTCTGAGTTTGTCTTGAGGTTTCCGAACACCTGCTATACCTTTTCCATTGTGAGACGCTGTCGTTCTGTCCATCTTCAGCATTAAATAAGCACGACGCCACAGACAAACGGATGAGATTCATACCTGTCAGCTCCTTCTTTAACTTGCGAAGGTCTTTTGCGAGATCTTCAAACTTGACCTGAGCAGCGTGGAAGAGATCCTGAGGTTCAGGCAGCGGGAAAATGCTCTTCTCTGTTCCTGCGTTCTGAAACGACAACAACAACACATCTGCCAGAAGAAAGAAAAAAGGAGAAACTGTCTGCTTGTAACTCAGTTTTTTGTTTTTACTCAGTATTTCCCTTTGAATTAAGTTCATTTTGCAGGCCCCAGTGACTGATATTTGTTCTTTTTTAAGCAAAAACTCACTTAATTTTGATCAATTTCTTGTCTTTTTATCGTAAGTCAAGTGCATCTCAGATAAACGTGTCTTGATTTATTAATGTTTAGACATTTGCACTGGAAAACAAGACCGAAACGTAGAGTGAGAAAATCATTTTTGTAGTGTTTCCTCTTCTATATTCCTGAATAAACTTTAGATGTCTTTGATGGTTGTGTTTTTTATTGCATTACATTAATGTTACTGTCAATTTAAGAGGTTAAAACACTTTTTGGCTGAGGTTGCAAGACAATGGAGCTAAAAAGAAATAAAGTATGGAAGCCCATTTCTGCCAGTGAATAAAAAAAAAAATTTAATTGCGACTTTTTATCTGACTTTTTTCAGAATTATAAGATATAAACTTGCAATTGTTTTTGGTTATTAGTTATAAACTCCAATTCTGAAGAAAAAAAAAGGAGTATTTTCTTACAATTTCGAGTTTATATCTCGCAATTCTCACGTTATTTCTCAGAATTGCATGTTTATATCTTGTACTTATATCTTAACTAACAGTAACAGAGTGCACCTGCACAGTTAAAAAAATGTACAATAAAATAATATAGAGTACAGTAAAATACAATAATAGGCAAAATTAAAAGAAAAGAATTGTAAAAGAGTTTAAATCTCATCCGGCTGTACCTCGTCCATGTTTCGCAGATAGTACGACACCACATAATCCACCAGACTTATCCGATTGTCCTGATGGGAAAGAAGGTCATTGGCAGATGTTGAGGTGACCCAATCACACCCAGTCAACTCTTCAGAATACTGAATGACACATATTCAGAGCAGGTTTATGGTTTATGAGTGGTATTTTCATACCCTGCTCTTGACATCTTTTAGTTTAGGCAGAATCTCCAGTCCGAATCCGTCCGCCTGTCCTCTGGTCCGGTTTCCACTGTTCATGTAGTTTCCGAAGGCCAAGATGAGGCCGATCACGTCCTTCACGCTGTCATTCTCAAGAAAAGCCTGAAAAGACAATTACATACTTCAGAATACAACACTAGTGTACTGCATACTGCACAGTGAAACGGCCATCAAACACTATACTGCATTGTGTCACAGGTATCATGTCAGAAATCAAAATATTATTTTTATGAATATTTTTTATTTTAATATAACTGTTTTTTTTACAAATATAAATATTATTTTTATGAATATTTTTTTTAATATACATTTTTATTCACAAATACAATTATTATTTTTATGAATTTGTTTTATTTTAATATTTTAATATTTTATTTTAAAATAAACGTTTTTTTTTACAAATACAAATATTATTTTTATGAATATTTTTTATTTTAATATTTGGATATATTTATTTTAATATAAATGTTTTTTACAAATACAA